ATTCCCACCATCTGAAATCAACATTAGTTCGTGATGAACTCACCTTGATCAAGTCCTGATAAGGTAACTGGTTTTCCAAAGTGCCGCTTTCCTGCACTGTGTTGTCCATATAAGAGTTGCACGGGTATCCGCGTTGAATCCATGCAGCCGATGTGCCCCGGCCACCTCAGGTGCCACAGCATAATTATGCAGTCTATTGCATGCATGCCACTACGGCGCAGCACTCTCGTGTCTGCAACTCTGTAACATCAGCCGATGAGTAATATTCGTTGCGGACACTGTTGATGAAGCCGGTCCACATATCTGACATCCTTCCGGTACATCGTCCAGACTTGTATACCATCAACTTCGTTCCAACGGTAAGGTGGTGCTTGTTCCATACACGCTTTCCCAACTTTCTAAACCCAGCTGCCGTTTTCGATACGCTGACACGTAGCTCGTTCATCATCTACAAATTGGTCAAAAGTGCACCATCCAGTTATCAAAATTTCGAAGTGGTTTCTAAGACGTCACCAATAAGGATTCGCGGCAAACATAAGGATCCCATTTCTGATGTCGGCTAAAAAGGCAGACGTTTGTGTTGGTGGTGAGTCCGAATTTGGCCGTTGTGGAAGCAGGGGCCGTAGTCATGCGCTGCAACTCATCCGCTCTGTGCGCAAACAACGCACAGTCGTCAGCAAGATACGGATGGTTGTTTCACACCAGGGTACTCGCTCCGAGATGGCGCATGTTCAGTAACCCACCATGAATACGGCGTTCTACACGGACACCGTAATCGAAAGCATTATCAAAAGCGCAAGACATCATTGCATGGAGGTAAATATTAAACAAGACAGGGGTTAAGACAGGATTGTTTCACACCACAGACAACTGCAGTCATCCGAGGTTTGTCCACACAGCTGCACCCTAGCCCGCATACCAATGTGCAGACATTCAATTGAACTTACAAACTTACTCGAAAACCAAACTTACCCAACACCAGCCACGGTGCTTCGCGGTTCACTGTGTTAAAAGCCTTGGTAAAGTCTATAAGCAACAAGTACAACGGTTGGTGTCTCGCTCTGCATTTCTCCTGCAACTGACGAGCCGCCAACACCATATCTATAGTGCTGCGGGCCCGAACGAACTCCACATTGCTCTTCTGCCACGCCCGGTTCAATGATTTGTGTGACGAGGCGGTCGAGCAGGATTCGCGCTGTCACCTCCACACAACTCAGCAATTTAGTGTCACGATGATTCGTGCAACATTGTTTGCTCCCTTTGTCCTTGTACCGTGGTAGCCCAAGGACATCCCTCAGCTCTGTTGGCACTTCTTCAATCCACACGCATTGCACCCAGTGGTGTAGCGCATTCACCAATACGGGTCCGCCGCATTTCAATACTTAGCCGCAATGCCGTCTTAACCAGCGCACTTTTCGTTTCACAGCTGAGCAGGTGCTCTCTGTTTCTCATCCAGTGTCAGTGTGTCGGTTGAACACTTCTTCATCTCTTATTGTTGCAGCCCGTGCACATCGCCCATTCGTTCTCTAAACACTTGTTCGGTAAACACTCAAATTGCCTTCGCCATATCTGCTTTATGTCTGCAGTCTGTGCACAGACCGCGCCTGTATTAGCATGGATAAGCGTTCCCCAACTTCAGACTGTACATCGCCTTCAAGGAGTCAAAGAATTCCTTATGTTGGCGACGTTCGACGTTGCAATCCACCTGCTTTGTCTTCTTTGTCCACCATACATTCTTGATGCAACTGAGCTCTCGAGTAAATCGCCATCGAACTTCGCGAAAATGACCTTCTCGCGGTCAGCAGGTTCATCCACACGTGCAGCGAACGCTGCATTTTTCACCGACACCAACGCGCCAGTGGTTGCACTGTTGTCATCATACCAATCTGGTCGCTTACGGTTTACGCACCCGATTTTTTCTTTGGCAGTATCAGTCACCTGGTCATGGATTTGGGGTCACAGGTCGCTCACTGTGGCTAATGGTTCGACATCGCCAAGGCTTATAGCCATCCTCTTCTCCAGTTCCATCATCTTCTTAGCCGGTTCACGGCAGGAATGCAATAAATAGATTTACGAAAATGTATGTATACTTTGGTCCCCACCAACTTATGATCAGTGCCATACTCAGCCCAACACAGTACACTGGTCATGCGCACTTCATGCATGTCACGCTTGCGTACGATAACATGGTCGAACAGGTGAGGGTGTCCACTGGTGGGTGAGTCCAAGTAGCCATATCACTCGCACACAATGTAGACAGTGTGTTCGTGATCGTTAAGCAATGGGTGGCGCACAATGAGAGCAGCCGGTCACCGTTCCCATTGTCTACGAATACCATGCAGGCCGGTGACGTCTGTCCACACTGCGGCATCATGCTCAACGCGCGCGTTTAAATCATCTAGCAGGCATATCCGGTCGATCCTGGTCAACCACCGTATCACAGAGGATAACAGCGTAAAACTGAACCCTCGTGTCATCAGGAGAATACATGGTGGGACCATAAGTGCTAATAAGTGGCAAATTTATCTTCCAAATCGAAGGCGAAGTGCCATCAGTAGTGCGCTGATGTCGGTCAGATCTGCCATCAGCTGGCCATTTGGGCGGTCCGATAATTCAATTCTGACCCCATGTTCATGTGGTGCTTGGTGGCGTTCCCCATGCAGCCTCATGCAGCTTGACTTGGTCAGCGAGCCGAGTCTAGCTGAGTGCGGAAGCGCGCGCGTTTCATCGTGACTAGTGCAGTGCGTCGCTCGAGTCGCTCACTCGTGTGCCGGTTCAGTAATGTGCGCACGTTCCAGCACCCGATCTTGGACTCTCTGTGCAGAGGCATATGATTGCGATACCGAGCAATCGTATGAGTGGTGACGTGCATTAGAAGGAGTAGCGGGTTGTGAGGAGATAATTTACTGGGGAAGAAGAAAGAAGGAAGGCGTCAGCGTTAGCATGTTTTCGCTTATCCATCTCGTTGAATGCAGCAGATAAGGCGACGCTTTCCCTGAGGCCACTATGTGACGGCCGATGCCACATAGATTCATTATTATTGGCATGATTCATGTTGGGGGTTTGACTAAGATCCTGCCAGCGCGTCCACACTTGACAGAAGAACGACTCGGGTCCACAGCCCCTCATCATCATCATCATCATCATACACGTTAGCTAGAGGTGGGGAACACCTCAGCTACTGTGCCGCAATACATAGAAAGAAAGGAGAAAAAAAGCAACTGGTGCAAGCTGGCTGAGCTACCGGTAACGGATGGGCATCGTTCCGGTAAGCTACCAGCCGGCTGCTGTGCACCCAAAAAGAAAAAAACATTACGCAAGATTATATAAGGCTAAATAATGAGATCGTGGTTGGAGGGGGAGGCTAAGAGGGATGGGGTGGGACAAAGAAACTCACAGCACGAACGCCACTGAGGTCGGCTCCTAACCATATCAGCAAGTGTGTCCAACCAAACATGCTCATCGTCCTTTGTCCACAGCCCCTGCCTTCCATAAAATGCGCACCCGAAAGACAGCGGGCCCTGTGTTAGTGAACTGACTCACGCGGAATTTTGTCAGCCCTTAGCTGGAAGAAGGGTTTAACCCAACTCCCAACTAACAGCCGTCACGAGGAGGCGCCGGAACATGAGTCCACGGCACAACATTAGCAATAGAGGGTCCACGATCTGTCAGGATCTCTCTACCATCCTTGTCCTTCACGGTTCTTCACTTCTATACATAGGTAGCAGCTTCCTTGCCAGGAATGACTGGACATTGAGCAGATTGCCATGATGGTATGTTTGATGGAGATTTCAGTGGTTCTTTTTTAGTAATGGTTTAATTTTTATGCCCATTTAATTTTCTTGTACCACGAACTCCACTGGATGAATTTGTTGTTCGAGAATCACACCGATTACTCCGTCTACTGCTACTAGTCGCTTCAAGGTAGGTAACCCTTGTCTGATGGGGTTCATACGCGCCAAAGCTTTCTTATTGTCGACTGTACAGTTCAATTTAATTTGCTAGCCATAATCCTTGCACCTACCCCCAAGGATGTGGTTGCTCAGATTCACGTTCTCAAAATATGCACAAGTCATAGTTCTGACAACTCAAGAAGAATAAACAAGAGCTTAAACCATCAGATGGAGTATCCTTGACTATGAAAAAGTGGATGACTGCAAGAACGCCATCGACCCCCTGCTCATCCACATGCCATAAGTTGTCCAACCTCTGATATGGCCGGTTTCGAGAACCCCACCATGGAGGACGACAAGCGCCAACTCGATTCAGCCTTCATGGTCTTTTGACATGTTCTTGACTGGCCACACTAGGTATACGCCCATCTAGACACAGTATTGCTAACCATTACATACCTAGTATATAATCCGATTCGCCCCAAAATATATTACATGGAACTGATCTTAAGTAGATTCCCTTTGTTCCCATTCCCTGCGTTCTCCATACCACCATTTAAGTTAAATTTTTCAGCCGATGCTCACAGTCGAATTTCGCGGGCTGATCCCCATTGGCGCCACTACATTACCAGGATTTTGAGCCCATTACAAATAACGGGGACTTACATAGAATCACTTCTCCGACTGGTCGACCAGTAAACATTATCTTATCGCGGAGCATCGTCACAACTGTTTTTTATTATTCTCATATTCGTTTTTTTACTTTCTTCTCTTCAAGTGAATCAACGAGAGACCGATTCTGACCTTTCCAACTTCGCCAACAAGCAACAAATTCGTCATCCAACTTGTAGCATATGGGATCTTTCAACTTTTTGCTCTGTCAACTCGGTTAGCTGACAGCAGGTTGTTACTAAACAACCTCAGTAGGTGTATCCTGTTTTTACGGGAACACAAACTGGCGGGGTCCTGGCGTATCTGAGGTTAACGAATTCAGATTTAATTGATCAATTTTTAATCCTGATTATCCGGTTAGGCATTTACGCTTTTCTTTGGTGAAATTTGGTCCTCATTAAAGCTTTTATTCTTTTCCTGTGCTCTTCAGATTGGATGAATCGTGCTCCTGTTTGTCACTATTATCAAGCTGGATGTTGTAGAAATGGGAGTTCCTGTCGCTTCACTCACCCGACGGTACGGTGCCGCGTTTTCCTCGCTACCGGATGGTGTCCTTATGGTTACAGTTGTTATTTTTGGCACGACCGCTCCCGGATAACTTCAACCCCTTTCTCTCCCCCTCGCAAGCCTTGTCGCTTTTTCGCCAACAATCAATGCAAGTATGGGGATGAATGTACCTTCTCTCATGAAATCGAAAGCAACCCCACTGGCTCAATGACGCTGGCAGAGTACCGTGCCTCGAGGAAACTGTCACAACTTACCCTCGCGACTGCACTTGATTCTTCACACAAGAGACCTGACGAGCACCACGAACGTCATGTTGTACGGTTTTCTAACGTTTCAGGATCCCCCACTCTTCCCATACCTGCTGGAGGTACCACTTCCAAATCAACTAGGGTCCCAGTCTTGCGCCCCAGTCTGACTACAACCCAAATTAAGATGGATAATGCAAGCAACTTAGAACTCTGTCGGTTGCAAGCTTTGGAGATTTCTCGCCTTTTAAAGGCCTTTCCTCCGGATCGATTGCGTGAAGTTACGCCGCAGGAGGATGGGAAAGCCTTTTTCGTAATATTTTCTCCCACAGACCCCGACTGGGTAGGTACCTTTATAATAAAAATCCTTGAAATTTAGCGTTGTTGACCTCATTTCAGTGATCAAGTCATTATTCTAGTTTCTCATGTTGCACAGTTTTGTCTTTGTCGGAATGAACAATCATCTAAACGATTCACATGTTTCTTTTCTTGTCTCACACCTATGTACTTGATCACATCTTTGTTATGCTTGCAACCTTATCGACAGAAGTCCACTTAACGCACTGCGTTTAATTGCTTCGCGAGTATTTTGAGCTCACTGGGGTCTTCACAGGTATTACATTTCAAATCGATCCTGAGATCTAGTCCCATATGGCGTCTTCTTACTATTGTCGTTCTCTCGATTTGCTTATTGGTCGCACATATTGCATTTTTGTTGGTGCACTATATTTCGGATGCGACATTCGTGACACTCCCACATGTCGGCTTTTCACCCCTTATTCCTTCGCGTTTCGTATATACATTTTTTTGTTTTTAGTAGGTATTGTGATATCCGAAAGACTTTGGTGTCCAGCGTTTGTGGGCACACGCAGCATGGAGCAAAGCAGATTTTGCGATCAACACAACCCTTTCGTCCAGTTCTGCTGGACATGAGCGGTAAACCGGAACCTAGGTTCCGGTGACTAGCGGGTCACAAGAGAAACGCCAGAGCTGTTCCGCAACCGGCCATACTTAGTCGCGTTGTGGGCTATAAACATGCACACATCGCTTCATTGTTTGCCTATCAGTTAGGCTAATTGTTGCCAATCACCCGTTTACGGATCTTGCCTTTGAAATATCTCTTATGTCAGTTGGCGCTATCATTTGTTAATGAGAATAGTGGCAGATTTATACTGATGTTCGAAAGCCGCCGCTACGGGTACGAAAGCAACACCTGATGACACATTCGTGTCCAACTCGAACTCCTAGTTTTGCATACATTTTTGCACAGAGTGCATCTAATCTGTGTTTTACTGAAAAACTGCACCGTTAGCTTCCTTCTTACATTCTCACCCGCAATTTCCGTGGTTCTGTTATTGGGATACCTCGCCAGTAATCGTGCGCTATAGCTAGATGGACTCCATTGTGATGGTGGCTGGCAGATTTCGCGAGCGAAGTAGATGCGCGACCAGTGGACTGGGAAGCCAGTCAGCGTTGTCAGCACAAGCTGACCACAATCGCACCGGCTGGATGAACAGTGGGTAATTGCTTTTGGTGTTTGGAATACTGGTAGCTCGGGAGACTTGTTCACTTACTGTGGTGTCCGCCGAGCTGGCCAATTTGATTTCAAACGTTTCGTCACCAAACCCACTCCTCTTGTTGACCGTCTGCTGCATTACAGTGACACGCCGCGTCCACCAGACCTCGCATTGATAACGCTGCGCAGTGAATGTTCTCCAGTAGGGATTACTGGACAGTTTTCAAACAGCTGAATAGAACATGCAGTGATCCAGTAATTGACAGGATTGCACGTAAGACCATAACCCAATGTCACAGATGTGCATGGCGCTGCGAATGTATGCTCAGTGCGTACCGATGCCTGAGAATGAGTCATTCATGAGATTAGAGGACAACGCATCCTGAAAGACAGTGAGGACGTTTGCGGCAAATAGCTGATCCGTGTCAAGCCGTTTCCGGTAACGCTGTTACGTCTCACCAAACTGCAACCAGACCTTAGCACATATGAACGCGTGATCTATAATGAGGTATTACAGATTGACTTCAAGTCCTTAGTCAAGCTTCGTGAACGATAATTCGTATCGACGCGGTTAACCGGCGTCCACATCCAACCAAGTGATGGAGGTATCCAGGAAGTGCGTTGACACCAAGATCGCCAAAAGCGGACTCTCGAAGGAAATAGGCCAGGATCTGCGCAAAGCAACGACAAAAGTCTTTCCTGCTCGTACCGTGGTCATGTTGACCACCAAGTTTACGTTCGTCGATATGCGCATTCAAATCTCCGATAAGCACCACGATGTTCGTGCGGCGCTCTTTACGAACCAAATTGAGGTGTTGTTGGCAGAATTCATTTTAACTTAGTCCGGACTGCAGTCTGCGAGAACGACAACGTCTGTCTGTGTGATGGCTGAGGTTTCTAGTTCAGTCGCGCACCCGACTATTAACGGTGATCCATTTTGTTCAAGCTGCCTCAGAACGTGTGTTTAACTCCATCCCACACCGACATGGCCAGAGATTTCAGTAATCGAGTGTCCGGATATGCGCAATTTGAAAATGCCGGTGGAACATGCAAGCAGGGAAATCAGTTGTAGCGCCGGGCCGGAATTCTCGAAACTGGTATCAGCGAGGCGACAAATGCCAATGGCGGTGGTTTCTAGTATGTGTTCGGTGGTTTTCTATTATCCAATATGCATCAACATCCTAACATTGAAGGTAACTAGCTTGAATTGGGAAGGGAACGTTGGAGAAAACTTACCAGCGCAACTTGGTGCTCAATCTCCGGTTTAAACTCCTAATCCGTCGAGAACTCTTGTACAACGCAGTGGGATGATGTGAACTGTGGAACGGAGGATGGTCACCAAGCATGGAGGCATTGAACAAACGTGAAACTAAGTTACTGGATCTTTGCACGGTAGGGCATGATTTAGCAGATTTGGCTATCTGCGGATCGACCGAGGATAGCGTTTCTTAAGAGTAAATACAACCAGTAGAAATTCATGAAGCGTCAATCCATAGGTTATGCGGCAGTTTTACTTGATTGCCCAGGATGAAAAACATGGTTCCCTTATGAACGCTCTCGGAACCTCGAGATATGAAGACCTGACCTACAAGGTAGCAGGAATACAAACGTCTATTACGAACCGTTTGGATAACACGCTTTTTGTTACAAGCGACTCATGACGCCCAAATCGCCCGAGTATATCAACACAGGCCAGAGGACGTTTCCTGTACCACAGAACTCGTCACCAGGCACGAGACCGTTGACAACTAGGTGTCTCACGTGCATTCTTAGTCTACGAAACCGTCCACATACGAGGTCTGCCAAGAAGGTCCCAGGACTGGGGTTACTAATGATGTATTCTAAACCCTAACTTCACACTAATGCTTTTCACTCTTCAGAATAATCCATCTAGTCTAATGAACTTCCTCATTCTTCTCTGCCACGCACACATGCTTTCCTGGAGGAATACTTCCGGGAGCTTCCACGGCTCCGTCGTCGCGGCCTTTTTGACATCATTCACGTTTTCAAAACTGGTCCCTAGATTACCTCGAGCTTGGGGATTCGGAAAATACCTCAAGGGACTAGGTCGGGTGATTAGGGGTTATCCCAGCATTGCATTCTTCTCCTGCAGGTGCTGTCGGATGCTCAGAGCATTATGTGCAGGCGCGTTGTGATGAAGCAACCACCAGTTCTCCCGACTCAACTATCGTCTCTTCTCGCGCACTGAACGAAGGAAACGCCGCAGTATTTGCACAAACTTTCCGCCTGTCCGAATCTTCTTTAAGAATCTTCCAGATCCCGTCCCGATCCATGCCAAGCTCATTGGTCCTCGGTCGAACATTCAGTCGACGATAGCTACCCGTCATCTGCCTCAACCTTGACCTCAGTCCAGGTCGTTGAGAAATTTCCACTATTGGACTCATCTTCCACATCATTGCATCCTTGTTTATAACCCTAGCACCGTTCCTAACACTTGAGCATGACATCATCTCAGCTCTGTACTTGCTGCAGCAATCCCAGTGCTTCTGACAGTTTTCTGAAACTGTACCAAATGCTTCAGGTTTGTTCGTTGCTCTCTGCTCATTGGTTGACGATCTGAAACAGACGGCATGTGCATAACACAATGTTTAAAATTCCTATAGCTACAGAGAGCCACGATCACACTTACATACACCAGGGAGATGATTTTGAAGAGCATAACTTAGTGTGCAGTTTGGGTTTGATACAAATATATTGTGACCAGTATCCTGGCAATTTTGACACATTTTAAGGAAACCGATAGTCACCGAAGTTATTCATCAGCCTTTCTCCAGGTGCTTGCTTATGGTTGCAGCACTGATTGGTCATTGGCCTAATAGCCGGTCCTATCAACTCTGACACAACGTCGTGTGAACTCATTTGGTATTGTGGTACAAAACAACTAGTTGAGAACCCACGACCTCCTGAGGTGCCACCGCTGATTGTCCGCGACTGCTTGGTTATCTCTCCTGCGAACATACGAGACTTATTCACTTGTAAATCTACAAGGAAGGCATTCCCAAATTGGCGACCAAGTAGCAAATTCAGTTGCGTATAGCTTCACTGCGTTAAAATGTGGTATTTTCGCTTTCTTTTAGATTTCCACAAACGATAGTAGCACAGCACGTGCCGCTCCGCTGTTCAACATGTTTCTCTCGTTGCCTAATTTGCTGCGCCTCTAAATGAATCAACTACACATCACTAGAATAAGCTTTTGGGTGCTGCGCTTGATCGCAGATGTACCCGCCGGTGATTGTGCAAATGATTCGCGGCCTGCAAACTACATTTACTAGTTAAGGATCTTGTACCAGTAAATGAGTAACCAGTCGGGTCCTATTGCTTCAGATGAAGCTCTGAAGTCAATTAGCCCACATTCACCTTTTTCTGTGTTTTGTTTTCGTCTTTCTATCTGACTGGACGTTTTAAACCCGATTGCTCCGGTCGGCTGATCAAAAGAGCGAGGCCTCGGTCACCAGTTTCATACCCACCTATTAAGAGGCAATTACACTGTGCAGACTAACGTTCTCGTATGTCCTGTAGTCTCTACTATTCTATGCCGGCCCGTAGCCTTAAAGATCATAAGCCTATCTTGTAATCTGAGGGCGCGGGTTCAAACATGCGTAGGGACCGGACGACCCTCGCAGTATCCTTAGCCCACGTGCGATTGCTGGTAGTTGCACGGCAGCAAAGCCTCGGTACTGCGTACCGGCGTACTGCTGATGCATGTTTCTTTTAGCGATAGATGACCCGAAGACATTTTTTGATCGACCGATGAGATTATTCCACTGAATTCCAGGAAAAAGCTCGAATTTTAACCGTTATGGAGT